GTCAGCTTTTTGCAAACACCATGTCAAAGGCCATCCCAATACTCTTACACTCGAGACAGAGGCATGCACACAGTCTCTCTCACCTCCAGGTCTTGACATTAACTATGGTACATAGTGTATTGCTCTTCTACACCGACCCAGGAGCTTTCCCTTGTCTGAAATAATTTAAGGTATTGAACGTTTCTGTGTTTAAGTATAGAATTTATAGCACCAGTGTAAGAGTCCTTTCTATGCTAAAGCACTTATGAACTGTCCATCTTTCCTTAGGCTTACACCTTTAAAAAGTTCCTTGATATTCACCATAGTCACCTGCATTCAAAGGAAAAAAAAAGTCCAACTAGCTTTTGTTGAGACTCAAAACAGCTGAGAAAGAAAATGTTACTCAAGACTGAAATGCCTTAGAGAATCTGTTTGCAGAATTAAACCCATAAACTCTAATTTTTCAAAATCAGATATTATCAGTATGAACATGTGACAAGATTTAAATCAGTTCCAGTAATATTTGAACAGCCACATACATTTATTTACAAACAAATTTTATCACCCTTAGTAAGAGCAATTCACACAAAATAAATAGAGGTTCCTCGATGTAAAAAGCCTACTGGTCCCTGTACATTGTGATCGACAGCAATTCAGTTGACTAGACCATCTAAACGCAGGAGTCCCAATTTGCAAATCCAAGTTACAGCAAATCCCTTTGCTTTTACTGTTGTGGGGGAAAGTTTGTGGCAAAAAAGAAACCCCAGAACCCCACTATGTTGAAGTGTCAACATCTGGAATAAAGCTCCTAGAAAAAAATAACTTGAGACCTTTTGTTTAAAGCACTGATTCGGGATGTTAGAAGTTACTCAGTAGCCAACCTACCAATCGCCTGTGGTATCACTGACAGTAAAGTTGGAAAAATAAGTTAACCACACCCGCAGGCAAAAGAAAAACTGTTACCCACATCAGAAGCATATGTTCTAGCAAGTACCAAAAAAAAAAGAAAAAAAGAACCCCCCCCAAACTCCAGACAACACTCCCCTACACTTTCACTGCTGTAATGAATATATGGAAGGCCTTCATATCAAGCACACAAATGCGGGTGTAAAGCATGCATTTATGCATTCAGTTTGCATCTGCAATTAAAAAACTGTGAATAGTAAATTAAGAGCCAGATTCAGACAACTTCAAGCACAATCAGGAAGGTAACTTTTGACAGGAGGCAGCGATGGTTACTGAGACTAGCAGCATCTGCTGGATAGCCAAGCAGACCCAAACAAACAGCCAGCTGAGCCCATGCTACCCAATTTTAACTTTTGTGACAGCCCTATGGGCAGCCCTACTTGAACAGAGCTTTCAAGAAAAGGTGAAGTTCTTAAAACTGGAGCATGCCCTCCATTAAAGCAAAAATTAGAGTACATTTGGTTAGCTTGCTCCCTTTGAGATATCTGATATCTGGGCTTGAGAGTGGGCTTCACTTCTCCTGATGGATTGTGTGATCATGAGCTTTCTTAATTACATCACACTTGCCAAGAAAGCAGTAACCTTGTTTTCAGTACACGACAGGTTCCTTGTATGAAGAGGAAACATGATGGGTTAAGAAAAATAAAATAAGATAAATTTCAGCATTCCCCTTGGTTTGGATGCCTCCAGTCACAATTTAGGTCAATCCAGGACACACCAACAGGCTGGCTATCCATTCACAATTCTACTAACATCGCTTTACAGAGTAACAAAAGTAACTGAATTGTAGAAAAGCAAAGCTGGAAGGGCCCTTCAGAGGTCACCGAGTCCAAAACCTGACCACAGGCAGAATTATCCTTATCCAAACCATTCTATACATATCCACGGTCTAACCTACAAGCAAAACTATACAAATCACCCCCGACACAACCACGAGGTATAACACCCTGACATGCCACAGGTAAAGCAAGGGGACAACAGCAGCCAACGTCCTGCTGCTGCGAGGGTTAAAATGCGTTTGCAATCCAAGGAAGAGGGCCATGAACCCCACTAGAGGGAGGCAACACCCCCCTCCCCTCCCCTCCCCCAGCAGTACCAATCTGACCACTGGGTAAAATTCCTTCCTGACCCCAAATATGGCTATTGGTCTGACCCCCAAGCAGAGCAGCAAGACCCTCTAGTCAGGACCCTTGAGGTTTAAGTCCTTGCAGGAGCATTGTCAGAGCCCAGTTACAATGCCCAGCCTTGACTACAGCCAACCCCCAATGCTTTGGAGGAAGGCAAAAAGAAAGCACACATACACCCCAGAGGAAGGCAAGTAAATAAGAATAGGAAATACCTGAACATAGGCAGAGGTGTGCCAAAATCATCCTTGACTGATGAGGTCTCCAGCCTCCTCTTGAAGCACCTCCCATGACGGAAATTTCCAACTTCCCTACTATTCCACTGCCCCACCGTTCTAACAGCAAAGAAGTTTTTTCCTGATATCCACTCAAAACCTACTCTGCTGCAACTTCAAGCCACTGGTCTGCATCCTGCTCTCTGCAGTAAGCAAGAAACATTTTTCCCCTCTTCTTTATGGCAGCCCTTCAGAGATTTGAAGACTGCTATCATGCCCCTCTTAAGTGCTTTTTCTGCAAGCTGGACATGCCTACTCCCCTTGCAGAACTTGCCTTCCAAGCCCTTTATCATTTTTGTCACCTGCCTCTGGATCCTCTCTAACTTCTCCATGTCCTTTTAAAAATGCAGAGCCCAGAACTGCACTCAATACTCTAGATGAAGCCTAACCAGTGCTGATTAAAGAGGCACTATGACCTCTCATGTCTTGCACCTAATGCCTCTGTAGACACATCACAAAACTACATTTGCTTTGTGTGTGGCTACATCACACTGTAGACTCATACCGAGTCTGTGAGCTACCAAGACACTTAGATCCTTCGCTGTAGCGCTGTCATACAGACTGGTCTCACCCATTTAGTATTTTTCATTATTCTCCCAAGCTCTGTAGCACCATGCATTTATCAACATGGATACTTTAACCTAGTAGCTCAATCCCAGCTTTCCAACCTGTCAAGATCTTTCTGAATTGTACTTCTGTCTTCCAACATGTTCACAATCCTTCCCAGTTTCCTGTCTTCTGCCAATCTGCTCAAGAAGCTCTCTATTTCAGCATCCAAATCATTAATAAACACGTTGAATAGCACAGGGCCCAGGAAACACCCTTATGGGACTCCACACAAAACCTGCTGCCATTCTGACATGGTTCCATTTATAATTACCCTTTACTTGCAGATAAGAGTTCCCACAACAGAGAAAACTGCCTTCAGAAACTACTATGGTGCTGGCATTTCAAGTCAGGTCAAACATAGCTATAATATACCTCCAGACCTGAAGTTTGTACTCCTGTTCTCAAGAAGGCTCACAAATAAGTCAGAACTTCTGCTACTGAAACAAAGGCTGAAAAAAATATATTTAAATTTTCGTGTGCAAGTGAATGCCAGAACAGTAGCACTGAAGAAGTGCAACCATTACTGAAATCCAGAGAAAGTACTGATTTATCAGGAAGCTAATACAAAAATCAGCACTTTATTTTTTCCTTCTGTTCTTGCTCAAGAACAGATACAAATGGGAAGCTAACTTCACCGTTTATGGAGAGATGCATTCTCACTATAATTTCTGTTTACTGGGATCACTATAACTATATCCTACAACATGAAGTCAGAGGTTTAAAACTGGGTTTAGCAATTTTAATATTTCTGAATGAGTGAAAGCTGGGCCAACAGCCAACACTAACCTCACCTGGAGAATCTAGTTTCCTTGCATACTAATAGCAGGATAGTCAGTCTTACGAGTACCCATTTATTTCTTCCTGGGAAACTAATGTGACTAAAAATGAAGTGAGAAGGATGAGAAGAAACACTGATATACATCTTAAGGTGATCTCAGAGGACCAGTAATTCATATAATGGTTAATGGCCTAAAAATGGTAAATGCAGCTATTCATGGGGTTTCTTTTTTAAACAAGACTCACCTAGGAGCTTTATCTGCATAAAAAGCACATAGCAAAAACCTTGTACAGAAAAGGAAGCAGCTATTGGCAGCATAGCCATGTTCACAAGTAAGCAAATGTCACGGCAGTCTATCCAAAGTATAATGGAACACTACTTAGAAAAAGCCATGCCAGAATTTAAAATACCGAAGTTAGAAGACAAATGTTCCAAATGCAGGAAGCCTGCAGTACTATAGGCACATGGTTCAATCACACTAAAATGAGTTGATTTAGAAAAGTTACATTTCTATTAGAAACGTGCGCTCGTGATTACGGATAACACTTGAAAGATTAAACAAAACCACATGTTTACTTAACACAAAGTCATTTTTGGTTATGTGGATCTTCTACACAGCAACAGGAGGGAAAAAACAAAGTGTTTGTTACTGACAACAAAAGCAAGCATCGTGAACAAATATATTCTCATAAAAAGGGAAGTATGCAACTGGCCCCTGCAGTAAAAAAAAAAAACAAAAAAACTATAAAATGATGGGCATTTTTGTCCTAAAGAGTTTAAAGGCAGAAGATGTCTGTGCTAACTTTTACACTTGCTTCAAGGGAAGGTGTATCAAACTACACTAGGTAGATTTCAAAGCTGGCCATTTAGTAAGCCAAATATTTATATCTAATAAGAAACGGAAGAATTGTTTTTTCATGCGTTGTTTGGAAAGGAGGATAGCTTGAACCCACAGTCAGAAGGCTAGACCTTAGTATTGTGGAAAAGAGCAGAGGTTGTATTCCAGTGAATAAGCAAGGATGTGCTTTGCTTTTACATCTCCCAGTCAAAAGGTAATGCTTGTTTACTTCAAGACAATTCCTAGATAACACACTCATTTAGCACAAGATAATTACAGATGAACAGAGATGGGATTTGTACAAAAACTTGAGTAGGATTGCTTAATTCCCTCAGGCCCCTTTGAAAAAAAATCCCATTTTAGGGCCTCAAATTCATTAAAAACAAGGCCACTTGAATGTGCAACAGTAGCATTCTGTAACAACAGCTTACCAGCGACTTCCACAATGTCACCAGGGACAATGTCTCTTGCTTTAATCCTCTGTACACTTTTTCTGTCCTGTCGATACACTTTGCCCATTTCAGGTTCATATTCTTTAAGAGCTTCAATAGCATTTTCTGCATTTCTTTCCTGAAAGAGAGAAATAAGATGCAAGGTCATAACAGCTAGACATACTGCTAGAATGATCAGCTCTCCAATTTTGTATTCATGGCATGACATGACATTGTAATCAGTTCTGCCATGCTCATTCAAACAGAAAATGATAGGACCCCTTAAGTAGCTGAAACCTTCAAATTGAGGTTGCAGCCAGAAAAACACCACAAACAGAATTCAGATCTTAGTGGGCACTTGAAGGTCAAGAAGCCTTTATCCGGTCTTGCCAAAGTCATCCCTCAAGAATATTTATTATCTTGTTAGTAGGAAACAATGGAAAACAATAATTTTAGAAATCATGGGATTACAGTCTGACCTGAAGTAACACTTCAGCAGAAGCTTTAATAAAAAACCTGTTGGATATACTCATACATCAGCTGTCCAGTTCAGAAATACACATCTTGAGACCCAAAAATATCCCTACCCAATACCAGTCTGTAGTTTTCTCCAGGTAGAAGTGAGCAAAAAAAAAAAAAAATCAGCAGAAAGGCAATTATTTTTTCAGAATTAAACTTCCTTCTAAGCTATTTTCTTGTGCCCATCCTTCAGGTCTTTGTCCTATATTTGGACCTTTTCAAATTAAGAGGCAAGCATATATCCAGTTACAATAGCGTTGGTTATCTAGCTTGGATATAAGTATTGTCCAAAAGCTCTTTTCTTTTCACTTGTGAAGTAAAAGATACTACGTGACATTTCACACCCTTTACTTGCCAACAAAGTACCTACAACTTCCTGTATATAGTGCCAAGACTGGTACTCTAGAAGAAAGAGCAACACACTTAGAATACAGATACAAGTTATGACTATTTGTATGCTCTCCAAAACAAAATAATTCTTTCCATAATTCAACTTAGAGATAGTCAAGTTAAGGTCCTAACTTGAATTCATCACTCTTCCCAAGCCAGCTCTATTTAGCTCTTGCTACAAGGTAACAAACTATACCAGCAATCATTCAGATATCCAAAAGAGACTGGCAAAAAAAGAGGTGAGGTTGAGAATGTTGCTTAAAATCTTGCTAAAATGCTATAGATTAAAGCCGCAAGCTGCCTAGTTCAGTAATTTACAGCTGAGGCTTCAGTACCAGCTGCAACTCTAATATCACCACCAGCTTACGGTAGAGAGTAGGTGCCACAGGAGACAAGCCCTTGTTTACTTCAATATTTATTCTTAAACTTTTCCTATTGTTGCACTACCTTAAGTGCAGCTGTACTAGTTGGACAGTCTACTAGTGCTTCCACAACATCTTTGCATTCTTTCAATGCAGATGACAACAGACAAGACACTAACAGCTTGTTTCAGCTGCTGTGTCAACACCCACGGAAGTGAGAAAGTGATTAGTGCAGACAGCTTAGGCCTGCCCGGCTGAGTACAGACAGTCTCACATGGTATACAAAAGTCTACAATCGACCTTTCCACAATACATTTCCCTAAGCAAATTCAAACCCCGAGTTAAGAAACTACTAAAAATTTGTCAGCAGGTAGCACAGAGCTGACCGCTGGTAGCCAGCCCTCTGTACAGTACCAGTTCAAGTGGGTAAAGGATCAGAAGGGCACAGAACACATCTTGAAGGCTGTGGGTTCCGTCAAGTCACCTGCCAGACTGTGAAACGGTGAGAGAGACAGGCACTGGGACACCAAACACTGGAGGCTACTGTCCTCTCTGAACTGTAAGAAAACTGGGACATAGAGCTCAAATATAGGATATTTCCCCTCTTCAGGGATGAAGGGCAAAAGTAAAGTCCTTGCCCGTGTGCTTATACAGAAAGCAGCCCTCAGTACGCAAGTAAATAATACGAAGTCAGAAAACAAGAAACCCTCAGTCCCCTCAATCAGAAATTGGGAGGTGGGTGGGAGCAGGTGCAAATCTTTGTTTCTGTGCTTCACAGTCTCTCTCAAGCAACTCAAATCCAATTCCTCCAAGGTGGTTTCCTCCAAGATATTCAGAAAATTCTCCTCCTCCTGTAAATGATGTATGCTAAAAGTATAATGCCCACAAAACAAAGAGGAAAAAAGATCACTCACTGGTGCCGAGACAGACTCTTGCCTGGATTGTCTGCTGGTATTAACCAAAAAACTTGAGGCGTTTGCTCTTTTAGCCCTTCAGAGTCAAGTTAAATATAAAGTTCTCTCTAACAAATCTTTATCTAATATGTCACTTTACACATCTACACCCATGACAGCCTTCTGCATATTTTTCCTTTTTACTTAATTACCGTAGCAAAATGCTGGACAATGAGATAGATATTTTGTTTCATTTTCAATCTGCTCCTTTAGTTTTCTTATTTTTCCCTGCAGATCGTACAGCCTCAACAAGTTCTTTTTTTTTTTTTTTTTTAGGGATTTCTCAGCTCATCACAGCTGAGACAGAGAGACAGCTTTAATGTAGGCATTATTTCAACTGCAATAAGTTAGTACTGTAGATGTTACCTATAAAAAGGGATGCTACTTCAACTACTATGAACTAGCTAGATGATATTTGTCCATCTTTTGAAGAAGTTATGCTAACGACTGGATTATATCCTAGGGGAAAAAAATCTACCATTATTTTTCCCCTATATTTGAGAACCATAATGCCAAAACACCCTCATTTACTGTCTCTTCCTACCCTGGTTTAGTCCTGCCCTCAAATAGATCCATTATTTGTTCTCAAACTCCTCCCATCAAGGAATCATAGGTAGATACTTTAGAAGAATAAGGAGTGATCACACACTAAAGTGTAATGAATGCTTGCTCTAGGGGCATCTCAGTCTGCCTTCAACTACAGCAGTTACTTCCTATGCAATAACAGTAACACCTGCTTTCAGTTATTCCCACCTAGCACATTTAGGGCACATAAAGAGGTAACAAGTACCCCTTAACCCAACCAAGCACTAAATGAGATTTTTTTTCTACCTTTCTTGTAAATGAATTTCACTCTCCCCCTGCAGGTAGAAAATGTAATTGATACAAGTCTTTCACACACAGACAGCCAGCAAGACAAAGAATTCCATTTCAGTTCTCCCAAAAAGGATTTAAAAAATTGTTCCAGATAGATTATGTTTTTTACTTCCTCTCCCAAACTAGAACAGGAGTTTTAGGTTGCTGAAGTTTATTTTAATGGAAAATTTCTTCATTTTCTATTACAACTGTGGTATACTGAAGGTGGCCTTCCTCTTATCTGATCTTACTAGATAGGATATGCTAGCACCAGAATCCATCATCAGGAGATACCACTCTTGTCATGTGCACAACAGCATGCAAGCTGGCAAGTCTATACTTTGCTCTTAAATGCAGGTGGAAGACGACTAGCGTTTCACAACCCCACAGGTGGGAGAGGAACACAGATTCTGCAGCTAGAGAAGTATATCAAATGCACAGAGATTAGCCCAAAATGAGACTAGCACTCCAGTCTCATCGCAGCAACACCGGTTGGAATCCAATCCAGAAACTAGCAACTACTTTAGAGGTGCACCAATACATCGGTTCATATTGTATCAGCAGCAATAAAAGAAAAATCAACATGATCGGCAATCAGCTTTTTTTGGCTGATGTGGCCAATAATGTTGCCAATAAATGCTGCGTGCATGTGCGCAGCCAGGAGTGCAGCACGGCACCTGGAGAGCAGCATTCATTCGTTAAGTCTGTGGGGGAAGAAGGGGTATGGGGTGGACAGATCACGCGCCGGTGGTGAGTAAGTGGGGCAGGGGCTGCCCAGCCAGATTGGGGCCCGTGCCTCTCCTGGAGGTGCGCACAGCAGCGGAAGCTGCCCCCCGCCCCCGGACAAGCTCTGTCCTGGGCCCCACCCAACCCCTGCTGGGCTGTGCCTGCCCCTGCCCCTGCCCCAGCCCCACTCCCTCACCACAGGGGCCTTGATCTGCCTCCCCAAGCCCCTTCACCACAGACTTACCAGCTGGATGCTGCTCTCCATGCTGCCAGGCTGCATATCAGGAATCGGACCAGTAGTGGCCAATATGGCAGGTCAATAATCACCCATCAGTATCAGCCCACAAAGTCTTTATCAGTGCATCCCTAATCTTCTCTCGCTCTCTCTCCCCTTGCCATCAAACAAAATGCTCTTAAATTTTTCCCCTTAGGTGTGCAAAAGTACAGCTCTTCTCCTGGTCAGTGCCTCCCTATTTTCTTGATAGGAATGGAGTGGGTAGAAGAGCTGTCACTGGTTATGCTACAAAATTCTGCAGAAGGTAAGAGCAGGAATTGAAAAGATGCAGGTTCTAATAACACCAATCCTACAGGTTTTGTTATTAATTTTTGAACTGTAAAGGTAACAGCTGCAAAAGAGCAAGGTGTGAAGGTCTGGCAACCACAAGAGAGAAAATTGTTTGCTATTTTAAAGAAAATTTCTTCATGTGAAAGGGAGAGTATACTTGTTCCTAGAAGTTCTAGTTGGATGGATGTACAATATTTATTATGCCACCCACAGAGTTTAGTATTTGATAATTATGCTCCTGTTGACTAGACATTTGCACTTTTGAATCTGTAACAAAATAATTCCTGGTACTAGTTCTCATCAAGGACTCCAGTTTAGAACAAACGGAGGCATTAAACAACCCACATATGTTACTAGTGGGAACAAGTCACTAAAATCAACCCTTTAAAAATAAAATGTCAGCTCTAAAAACCTTTGAAAAAAAGTAACATTTTGGGGGGCCAGCATGAGGGGAGAAAACAATTAAGTTTTACAAATAAAGGTCTGGCAGGTATTTCTTAGATAATTGAGAGTAAAGGTCCTAATTGACAGCATCTTACATGTTCAAAAACTGGTGGTTAAGATTTTTACAGTCATGCTGGTGCTCTACCCATGAAAGCATTAAAAACTTACCTACTGAGTTCCAAGTGTGAAAACAAAGCTTTCAGAGCGTCACAGGAATTTTGTCTCTTGACAAAAACAGAAAATCTGAAACTGCATATGGCAACCCACTTAACTTACTTGCTGCTTTCAGTTAAAAAAAGTAAATACCCTTCCTGATAGGCAGTTGGCTTAGATCTATAAATATGAATATAAAAGAAAAAAGTTTCTTGGACAGCTCTTCAGATTTACTGGTTATTTACTCAAGGTCATTGTGTATGTGCACAGACCAAATGGAAACTTCCTTGTGTTTTCATATTGCTACAGAAATTAAGATGCAATTTAACTATTTAGATACAGCCAAATAGTTAAAAATGCTTTTGATTAATTAAGCATGTGAGACAGTAAGTGTTTTTTCTACAGATGTTGGCCGAGTATGCCATTACAGACTATGAAGTGGTTTTCCCCATATACCTTCCAGATTATTAACACACCACTTGCTGCAATGGGCATATAAAGAAAAAGAGCCTGATTTATCAGGGAGGCTTCAGTTTTTCACATTTACTTATTCTGTTGGCTTTTCTTCCCCCACCTGCTAAGATACTTTAGAGTATGGCAAAACACAGAACACAAATATAGCCGCTTTGCTAACCTGAAGTCATAACTGTATTCCCCATCTTCACCAGGTTTCATGGTTTTTAAACAAGCAAAAAAAAATTGAACTAATTCAGCACTAAGGAAGGAGTTTTTATAGTCTTAATTTTTTTTTTTTTTTTTTTTTTTTTTTAAATGCAGATTTGTCATTGTAAGCTTTGTAATAAGACCAGGCTGCCTGTCCAGAGTTCCCACCTAGCACCATGGTTTGGCAATTTCTCATGTCCTTGCTTTTGCAGGGTTTGAGTTATGGATATTGTATGCATAATGATTCCATTTCACACTTCAGTTTGTTTTATATGTTGGTAAGTACTAGCGAATTTTCTGATTATTTTAGTTAGTATGAGGAGTTGTTTGTTTCTATACAAGTGATATAAACTATAATTTGACTAGAACAGAATTTCTTATTCTCGGTTCCAAAAAATCTCTTTTTATAAAAATAACTCAAAGATTCAGTACCGAAGTCATTTGGCATCTGGAGACCATTTTTATGAAGTTGTCCTAGTATGACCTCTTTGAATATTAGCAAGAAAAGAAACAAACCAGAATTGGCTATACTGTGCAATGCTAGGGACTGACCAGTCTGTTTACCAGAACAGGGACTTTCAACATATTAAATCTTTTTAAAAAGCTTGACCCATTTTGGTCAACCAATGCAATCTAAAAGCCAATAAGGCAAGAAACATTTCTGCCCTGGAAGAGATGTTTTTCCAAAACAGTTCAATTTCTGTCATACAGGCTCAGAAATAACGTCAGCCATGTTACTGTTAAAAAAAAAAAAAAAGTCACTGGCACTACGATAATCAAATAGTCTGTAAGTTCATTGTGCCACTTTAAAATTGGCTTAAATATAAAAGTCACTCTTTCTAAAGAACTGTTTAAAAATGACTGTTTACTTAAAGAAAGCAATTCAACTGTGGACTTCTTAGATTACAGCTACAGAACTAGTCAGCAGAGCAAAACATTTATGATCAAGACACCATTAAAATAGGACAGAGAAAAAGGAAGATGGAGACTTTACAATCTCACTATCTGATTACCAAGCTGCTGGTGACTAAAGTTCTTTATGCAGCATGATGGCTTCTATCATGTGTAAGTTCCAAACTGTCAACAGCAATTCAATTTTATTTTGAGAAACATCTTATTCCTGATGAGAAAGGATTCTTGCCTTATCAGGCTTTAGATTGCTAGGCTACACAAAATAGTTTTCATTTAGCACAAAGACCCTTTGGAACTAAAAGGGACATACACATTTACCAACCAAGTTCACAGCTGATTTTAAAGGTTCTATAAGAAGTATTTTAGACAGAACTCCTGGCATTTCAGAATAAAATGCAGTTCTTTTGCTACAGTCTTTGTTCAAACACTTCAAATTCTGAACCACATCTCTCAATAAGCAACGAGTAGCTCCCGTGTGTGAAAAGCAACAGCAACATTTTAAAATGTTGTTAGAAAGAATGTAACTGCACAAATTTTGCCCGTTTTTCTTCAATTTAACATTGTTCATGTTACTAACTCATTGCCATCTTCGGCAGTCAGTATGTTTGTTGTTTGTTTCTTTTCTATTCTACTTGCTATTACTAATGTTTCTTTTCCTAATGCCAGTTGGTCTGAGCTGCAATGTCAAAGCAAAAAAGGAATTGCAAAATGTCAAACTGCAGTCTGAGCCACTGCAAGTCATAAAATAAAAAAATGCAATTCTAATATTTCATTAAGTAGTTTAATGGTTTTGCAAACTAAATTTATGCCATACGCCAACGTAACCTGGTAGATCTCTAATATACGTGGCTCATACTAGCCAGCGAAGGAATTTCACAGTAAAGCTGATATTTGTTCTTAATGAGAGATAGCTACATGCAGTTAGACCAAAGATATGCTTATTTAGCTGCAACTTTAAAATCTTGAGTTTGGCAGCCTAATTTTTAAGTAAACCACATTTGTTTTAACTTCCAAGAGACTTTATCCTGATCTGGAGTACTGTTACTTAAGGTTAAGAATAATAATTATGAATTGCTTCTAGTCTGCATGACCTCTTTCCTGAGTTGCTGAAGGTGTATTAAACCAAACGTATGGCCTAACATATCTTGGTTGGTGGGTCATGCTGCACCATATATTTTATTCTTAACATTTGCAAACCTTCTTTTAACTTTTAATTTAAACACTTCCCGACATAATTTATTAATTTTTCAATTCTGTTGAATCAAATTAAGTATATATACTGTAAAAGATAATATACTGCTTTTAAGTTTCTCATTGTATAAACATCATATGCTTCTAATAGTAATGTGCAAAGGTTTTCTGAGGTTTGGCATTGAAGTGTTTGCTTAAGTAATGTGCAAAGGTTTTCTGAGGTTTGGCAGGGAAGTGTTTGCTTCCCTGCCACACGCCGACAATTGCATTGGCTACTAATATAAGTAAGATTACAAAAGGCTCTACAAATGCTGTGATTGTTTCTTCACCTTCTTCAAACCAGGCCAAAACCTGCAAGAGAGACCATAGTTAAATAACACAACAGATTTATACATCCACCATGGATAAGTAATTACATACTAAAAATGTATTTTGGAGCGCTCTCAAAAATATTGAAAGACATGATCATTTTTGCATCTGGAAGTTGCAGGGAAATTTCACATTTCTTAGAACGTATGGCATATCATCCTGAAAAAAATTTGTTGCCCTATTTTAGCACACCGAATGCAGTGGAAGACTAAACTGAATTCTGTTTCTCTATCAAATTTCTTGCCTCTCCCTACAAACTAGCTTTCTACTGCAATATCATTCACACGCTGGAAATAATCAGAATTTATAAAATATTAAAACAAAACATAGCTAAGCTACACGAGTTTTGCAAACCAAAGGAAAATTAAATACAGCAGTGGCAAATAACTAGTGTGATTTTGCTCTTAAAAACCGAATTTAAGAACATTTACCTATACCATTTTGAAGCTTTTACAGAAACATAACATATACAATCCAACTGTATCTCTCTCCGCCTGACCAGGCACTTCGGTTTTGGCCCAGATTCATGTTGGTACTGTCAATGATTGGGAGTCGCACACAGCAAAAATGCTTTTTTCTTCTTAACATATCCTGCTTGTAAATTAAGTTCCCTTTGCTGTTTTGAGCAAAAGTGGACTGCATAAGGCCATAGCTTAGGAAGTTTAAAAATGGGAGAGAGTTAGAAACTACAATCTACAATTAGGCCCACCTAACAAAGTGCTCACCTTAAGGCTTTCCAGGGCACGGGATATCAAGAGTTAGAATGAGATCAGAGTACAAGAATTCCTCATGTTTTTAGAAACATGAAGACAATTCTCCAAACTGATGTATAAGTCTAACACCGTGGGTTTTCCACAGTTTTGTTTCTAGTACAATCCCAAGAAGACTCAAGCAACTAAAGATGCCACATTTTGGGCAAGTCTACATGTGACGCTATGGCGACCACGGGCAAGTGTCCGCAGGCAAGAACCGAGATGCAGTAGCTACTTCGCCATACCAATGCGCTTCCCCAGTATAGCACATCACTACAGCGAAGTGGCTGCTAACAATAACCATGTGCCGAACATATGGCGCAGTACGGGTTGTTACTTCCCTGTGATTTAGTGCTTCCAAAAGGAAATACCAAAATCACAGTGTAGTAATAATGTTGGCATAGTGACACGTGTAGACCTCCCTTTGAAGGCTTCCATTGAATTTTGGTAATCATCTATGTCTTTGTCATTCACCAATTCTTAATCAGTTCAAGAACTTATGGAAGAGCCCTATTCACTGACTAAGACCAGGCAACCTTCTGCAATGACTGAAGAGGGGGAGAGAGTTTTGTTAGTCAATATGTTGAGCAACAAGAAGCATCCGAAATGACAATAAGTAGGAACAACGTGTTGAGGTAATTAGTGCTGTAGTTAAGCAACGACACTGAATCACCAACAGCCTGTGGCAAGCATCATCATACTGCACTAGACCTACTGCTCAGTTGTGTAACACGTCAGGGTTTTCAGAAGGATGGTGCAACATCAGAACCTCAAACAGGAAAAGCCCAATCAACCAAGCTCAGCATGAAAGCAAGTTTAGTTAAGACAGTGAAAGTGTTTGACACTTCAGTGTTATTAACCACAGCTCGGGTCCTTCAATAAGCAAGGCAGCACCCTGTTAGGCTCAGTTTATTGATCTTCTCAAGCGATATAGAGAAGAGAACATAAAGCTTCATAACTCCTAGCCTTTTATTCCAATCCTGACACTTTGGGGTCATAGATACAGCCAGTGAGTCAGTAAAAAAAAAAAAAAAAAAAAAAAAAAGTCACCATCACTACTGGCTCCACCAAATGTAAGTTCTTTCTATGCAATAGCCACCATGGTCGCAACCACCAGTAAAACTGTAAGAGCAGTTCCTGACTTGTGCTAACCTTCTGAGAACATGCAGCATGTTCTAAAGCACACTCTAACCTGGATAAATCCACTTAATATCCCTGGGTGTGGGCAGACAGAATACTTAAAGTCAGCATTACTGGCAAAGCAGCAGCAGACAGACAACAGAAGTTCCTATGTAACTCTGCCTGGTCAAGTGAAGAATAACCCCCAAAAGAACAGGGTTAAAGCTCTGTTGATGAGTACACCAGTTTTGGCTTCAACCCTCTGCTTCCATCCCCATTTAACAAATCTATTATGTTTTCCCCATGCTGTATTGGCAAGGAACTGTAATTGTGCCAGTTGTGCCAAAACAGCTATACACCTGTTCCCAATTTTAAATAATTTTACAGCAGTTTGTAAAACTGCACTACATGTGAACCTCTATAACCTGCATCGTTTTCTCCCCATCTCTTACAGGTTCCAATGAGGAGTAGTTGAGTGTGTTTTGAAAAAAACAAGGCACTATAAATGCAAGTAGCTTGCAACATTTATATCAGTCACATACAGAACTAGCTGGACTAATTAATATTTGCTTACAGCATCTAATATTATATGACAAGGCACAGGAACATGCAATAGGCAAGGGTCAACAAAAACCAATTCTGCTCCACCTCACAAGCCACATAACACCCCCCTAAAACTATCATAGGAGCAGCTAAATCACAGCTCAGGAGATACATGTAGCCACTGGGGATTTTAAACACAGCTCCTAAAGAAAGAAATTCATACTCTGGGGTATGCGCACCTTCAGAGCTATGCATTGCCATGCTTTCAGCCAAGACAAAGCTTTGATTCGCAGCTAGAAGGGCTGGCAAGTTCAGCCACTCCTGTTCTGTAACAAAATGCAGGACTAGAATGGGCCTCCTGAGCATCAAGTTCAGCCCAGTGTCCCCAAACAGTCATCTGCACAAAGAATCTGCAGAATCATATGCTGCAAACTTCACACAGCACAGCCACAAAACACCCTGCTAAAGGAAGAAAAGGCTATCAAACCCATGCCAGGGTAAAGGACAGGAGAAACAAGGGTGATGCCCATGCAAGGGCATAGAATTTGCTAGGGTATACTCATGCCACACTAAGAACACCATGCTCCACCATACAGAGGAATGCAGGCAGCCCCAGTGGCCCTTGACCCCAGATCTGCCAAACAGTGTGACCCAGAGTACATGAGAACAATACTCCAGCCAGGTACCAGAGGGGCTTGCAAGCACTAGCAGGAGTCCCACTGCATCCCAGCCAAAATGCAGATGCCCCAAGGGCCAAACAGAGCATTCATGGAGACTAGGGAGGAGGGCCTAAACAGTTCTTCACCCTCTCTGATTCTCACCTAAGGAATGATTTTATGAAGAGTAATCTTATCTCCTCTCAACCTATGTTTTCTTAAGCTAAGCTCTTTAACCTTCTTCAGGTTCTCCTTTCACTTCCTGGTGGCACTGCATAAATCACAGTTTGAATTGACTGGTGACCAGAATTGTACATAATATTCTGCTAGGATCTTGCCACCACCCTGCGCAGTCATACTAATATTTCATTACCCATGCCCAACCTAAAATACCCTAGGACTACATCAGCCTTTTTCACAGTTGCGCTGCACTTGCATCACCTGATCATTCTTCAGCTCTACCAGCACACCAGGTCCCTCTGCTCCACAAGTCTACAAGCCCCCACTAGAAAGTTCCACAGAGAAAGCAGGAAAACCTAACAGGCAAGGGCTCAAGGCATGGCCAGGGAGATCACAGGTACCTGTTAGACAAGCTATGATCAACTGGTCTTAGGAGGTGGACCATGGCCTACACTACAGAATGTGAACACAAACAAAAAACAAACACCAACTGTCCTGACAAACTGGCGAGAGCAAGAATTCCTCTTTACTTCAGATCTGGTCTTTGCAAGTCAGTGATAGGTTAAGATGAGGGAAACAAAAGAGAATGGGGATATTAAGACTGATGCCGAAGACCTGGCACCACCCTCCACAACTTCTTGGACTGTACAGAGGTTACCTTAAGAGTTAAGAAATTATAGAATTTCCTATATACTTAAGATTATATAAAATAATAATATATATTATATAGCAAAATATCTCGCTATGGATATATAGTTATATAGAGACAGATAGCAAAAACCTACCCATAGCGTTCCATTTCACACTTAAATGGGAGTGCAATTCCAGGGATTAAGGGAAATACCTAACAGAAAGAAGCATGAATATCCTGTCACCACTAAGAGAACGGAAGGAACAAGAGAAGTGTAAGGGCAACTCTCACTTAACAACTGTCAAATTACTATGCTTTATTTGATTACTCAGATTGGGGGGGGAGAAGATTTACAGCTTGCAGAAAACTAATTCAAATAAGGTTCACTAAAGGATGAGGTCAAGGAGCTTTGCTGTTTTTTAAAGCAGAAACATACAGACAGACACTACATGCAATGACAAGTATGGAAGAAAAGCAAAGACAGGATGCTGGAACAAGTCAGTCAGTCAGCAATAAATGACTGTGATTAATCTAGTTAAGAAAACTAGAAGTATGTGACTAATGTATTGCAAGATGTGTATTCCCAAAAGAAAGCATCATCAGATTCTAGTATGAATACATATATGAGAGAGAGAGAGAGAGAAGAAAACAGATCATCTCAGGTGACTAATCACTTTTTAGGCAACACTTTGGAAAAAATCCAAAAAGCAAAAGACAGAAACCACTGTAAAAAAAATGGAAGTCAGAGTTCCACTGCCCAGGACCAGTTGTACCACTTGACTCAGCAGCTGGGAGAGAAGGTGGAGAGTGTGTCACAATTCTGTTGTCTGGGGCCAAGACACGTTTGACACTTGATAGTGGCAGTTTAGAGGCACATACCCGAGAGAGAACATGCACACATGGTTTTCCTCTTGGACTACTCAGATTTAAAGATTCTATAGAGTTTGCACACATTGTCTGTGCTTGACTAGAACTAGTTTTCCCCCCAGGACTCAATGTACACTTTATTAGTATGAAAGGATGTCTTTACACATGCTCCAAGGTGGGGGGAGGGAGTGAATTTTAATTAGAGCAGCTCCAGAGAGCCACTCGAATTAAAAT